TGAAAGGACGAGCATGTTTGGTGGGACGGGAATTCGAACCCGCGACCCATTCTTGTAAAACCAAATAGTGAGCTTTTCACTGTCACTCTTTCAGCGCACCCACAACCTCAAATTGCGGAGCTAATGAGTCGCGAACCACGTATCTTCGTAATGAAATAATTAAAGATATTTTTACCAAGTGCTTTGAAAACATCCTGCAAAATATTTTATGTTCAGAGCATAAATGTACAACTGGAAATCACTTAAACTGTATAAATTAATTCCACAATTCTCCTTGACAAATTACAGAACAATAACAAAATTAACAGAGATTAAAAAAAACAATTGTAACGATTAATTTTGTACTACATAAAAATAATCTAAAAATATAAAATATATATATTTCTACTCATTACAATTCTCAGTTATCCAAACTTAGGGTTTATTTTAAGTAGAATTTAGAAAATATTATTATTATTATGACAACATGGGCTAAAACACAACTGGTAGAAACAAAACAAACCCGGCTAACATAACGTACTCACAGCTCTATCAGGTTGACTAACTGATGGAAACCTTCCTCGTGAATGAATGAGACTCGGTTATTTTGGAGTGATCTGTAACCGAATGAAAACAAGAAAAGCTTATCAATTACAAAACATTCCAAACAAATCTATCACGTTTTATTGGGCAAGTGTGTGTGTGTGTGGGGGGGGCGTATTGTTATGGAAGAAAGAATCACACAAACACCTGTTCTGTAAGTTGAGTGCCATAAATTACAAAGATACGAGTCTCGTGTCGTAAATCACGCCGGAGACAGAATCGTCATCCAACTCGTGCCCGCGAGATACACGTGAATAGCGCGTGCGAAACATCAGTTTGTTTGTTTGTTTAATTTCGCGCAAAGCTACACCAGGGATATCTGCGCTAGCGTCGCTAATTTAGAGTGACATACCAGATGAACACCATACACCGCCGACTCTCGGGCTGCTCTTTGACAACGAAAAGTGGGATTAACCTCACATTATAATACCCCCCACAGCTGAAAGAAGAGCACGTTCGATGACAGGATTGGAACCCGCAGATTGCGAGTCGCGCGCCCTAATCATCTGGTCATACCGGCCGCGAAAGTTCAGAGACGTAGAAATATTTTCCATTGTCAAATGTCATTTTCTCAATCATTTACCGAACAGAAAAGAGGTGAAGACGCACGACGTTATATCATAGATATGTTTCCAAAATGAATTTTTGAGACCTTCACACTGGCTAAAAGTCGTGTAACGAGTGGTGTTATGTAAACTTACTAGCCCACAAGAACAAAAATCGAGAAAAGAAAAACGCTTTTTAACCACGTATTATAGAGGAAAATAATATCATAAGATAAGAGACGGTAGAGTTTATTCTGGTTACTTACAACACCTTCAGAGAGTTTAAGGATGCGAATGTATTCCTTTTTAATAATATAGGAGACGGTAGAGTTTATTCTGGTTACTTACAACAGCTTCAGAGAGCTTAAGGATGCAATGTATTC